TTTAAACTTAGATTAGATCAGTAAAAAAAACATACCCTGTGCGGTGATATTGAATATACACGAGGACACTTTAAAAACACTGTCGAAAGTAGGTACATATTGAAATGCCACGCACATTTTGCCTATTAGAATAATAAACTATATCATTTTACTGTATATATATTATAAATAAAAAAAACCCGTACATTGTATATTTTAAAATGAATTATATGAAATATTAAATTTCATATCTCATCTCTGAACGCTTTTCATCCCTTAAATTCATTATTATTTATATACATACCAAGTATATTATAAGTGAAACTCGGTTTTAACATTTTGTTTTTTCGATGAATTGGGTTGGTTTTTTCAATATTTGTTTTTTGTCTGAGCCTAAATTTAAATTAATTGTTTAGTATTTAAAATTTCAAATAATTACCTTTTTCAATATCGTTTAAATATTATTGTAGAATTGAACAATTTTAGTTGAATAGAATATATATTCTACTTTTCACTCGTCTTTAAACTTAGATCAGTAAAAAAATAATATCTGAATAACATCAAATCCAGGACCTTCATCCCCGGCTCGGTTGAGTATATATGTACTAAAGTTTACTAAATGTTACATTAATCCACAACTCATACACCGCACGAGTACTGATAGGTTTCCAAGAAAATTGTAACGCATAAAATAATGTTGCAACATCAATTTATTTCATTTGTGTGCGAATACTTTCTTAAAACTTTAAAATCACGTACATTTTGCCTCAGTATGAATTTAAGAAAGTTTTTAAAGTACCTGTCTAATAAACTTCTATTTCGCAAACAAATTAATAAATCACCGAATTTATTATTTTATTCCAACTGATTATTAGATAATAAAAATAAAATGTCTGTTATTTAAAACAAAAAGTTTGTGGTTTGTTTTTTAAATCCTATATAGATGGTCTATATATACGTCTAAATATATGCATTTGTAATTTATTGTAGGTATATAATAACGCTGTAATTAAAAATTGTCAACTGCGAGCTACTAACGTAAGAACTTTAGTTACTAAGATACAGGTATTGTTGGTTATCTAAATGCTTTAGAAGCCGTTTAACGTATAATATATGTATTTATTTGGGTGTACAAATTAGTCATTAATTAATTTAGTTTAACATAAACGAAATTATGTAATTGCTTTTTGAAATGTATGGATTAAAAATGTTACCAGGAATTAAAATCATATAACAAATTAATCGCAAGTTTGATATAAGTACCCACTGGATACGTTATTAAAATTATAACAACATAGATCTACAGATTTTAATTATAATACATTTATTATTAGTGGTATTTTTGATAAGTGTTTTTTTTATTTGGTTTTCAACACTTTTATAGTCATGTGGCATCGTAAGATCATGTTTTTTTGTACGTTGCTTTACGTGGTAGTTTAACCGATGATCTGTAAAAATAATACACCTATGAAAAGTAAAAGACACCTTACCACACAACTAACTGAAAATATTAATATTTTATAGATGTTTTTTTGAAATTTGTTGTATCGTGAAAAATATTATAAGCATTAACGAGTATGATGTTTTTAAAAATAACCATTTTATAAATAGTAAATTATTTTAAAAATATATATTAAATAATATTTACAAACATATTTTGTGTTAGTGATATTTGATTTTCTGTCAAAAATGTGATGTTAAAATAGTTTAAAAGTTTTTACAATTACTTAAAATACATATTTTTGCTTTATAAGTCAATAAATTAACGTTGCTTTTTTATTGGAACGTTACCTACAGCTATTCAAAAGTAGGTACTTACCGTGTACCCAAGATAACTAAATTCGAATTATCAAGTGTCTGCGCAAAAGCTAAAACATAACAACACCGTTTATCAATTCAACAGTAAATTTTAAAGGGTATCGCAGTCGTCGAGTTTATGATTAATGGAGTGACCATTAGAAAGGTTTAATATATGAGACCCAAGTAAACATTGGGAATCTCTCATTCGGTTTGCTCTTTTTGAGGGAGAAAGGGTTAAATGGTTGACCGTTAAACTGTTCGTCTGATATTTAACAACACTTGGTTTGAAAACCTATGACCAAAAGTAAATCCCGGTGGGACCTCGGTAAGCTCAGTAAGCACTTAAAATTTCCAGTGGCACTATTGACAGATACAATTTCTTTTCTTAGAAACTGTCTCACCAGCATCCGATGGCAATGGCAAAAATAAAACTAATTATGCAAAATAAACATTAAAAAAAGCAAATACTACTGACGGAAAACTGGAAGCAATTTGTTTTTCAATATACCTTCGATTACTTCCGTATCCGCAGTGACCCTTGATTTTCAATTTTACTTTTAAATCTGATTATAACCTGATTTTATTGAACGGTTTTTTTTTTTAAATTTAATTTTACACCTTTATTTTTTTTTTGTAAAATAACCCGTTTTAGTTTATTCTCGCTTGTTTCACATTTTAACGCAATACAAATTGTTACAAATCATTATTACATAAACATGGGTGTGTATATATATATATGGTGGATAAAGGTGAGTTTAAACGATGAATAGTATTTATTCAATGTAGGTATTAATAACAATCAAGTTCGGCCAAACAATCAGGTTACAGAATACATTAGAAACACGTTTAGTTCTCAATTATAATTGATAAAATACGCCAGTACTGATCTAATCCAATAGTTTATAAAGTCGCAATTAACCGAAAAGACATAAATTTGCAAAACATCAGTTACTTTTGTAAATGCGTTATTAAACTCCAGTATCACGAAATAGGGTAGCTACCTACACTTACAAAGGATATTACCCTAAGAATATTCCACGCAGCTGTCTGTTATTATAAATGTCTATCCTTTCCTAAACCCTTTTTGCTTAAAGTTGTCTAAAAGCTCGTAGATGTTATTGATTCATATTATAATTTATAACCTGTCTTGTGTTTATCCTTTAAAGTTGCAAATTCTATTATTCTGTTGAATAATAGCTTTATTCATAAGTCTAGCATTAGTGGACAGTAATATTAGGATTTCTGTTTACAATTTGGTTTACTGAAAGAGCCAATTACATTCGTAATTATCAGTGAATCTGAAAAATAAAAAATAAATAAACCATTTTAAAACAGTTTCATAAAACATCTTAAAACTGCTGAGTTGTCCGATAAAAAATAATTTCCTTTTTTTTTTTTAATTAAACCATATTTGTGGTAAATAATGAAGATGATACTGCATTTAATTTTTAACAATGCTAACAAGTAATCGTTGAGCAAACTCATTTAAACTAATTGTCAATAAAAAAAACTTCATTGTTTATTACTGGCTCATTTTTTGTATACACAAACGCTACAACGTTAATAACTACAAACTTGTTTGAATTGAACAGAAAAGCTCTTAAATCAACCCTGATTCCTGAAATAACATCGATACCGCGTTATAATGCGTTTTTAATAGCAAATTACTTAGTAATCAATAAAAGGTCATTTTAGACTTAACTCGGACTTCTCAAAATACTCGTGGTTCGTTTGAATTACAAATTAAATTGTAAAACTAATTTTTAAGATGTTTCTTATAATTTTCCAGTTTAAATAGTATGCTATTTAATAACGAATAAAATATAAAACGATTGCTTTATTTTATTTACACCTTCTCCTCTATTGAAATCATAATATAACCAGTTATATGTAGTTTGCGCTAGTCGCGTTCTTAAACAATTACCATGCTGATTGTAAGCCACATTATTTACTTGCAGGGCGTCATTTGCATTCACAGTAAATTAACGTTCCGATAGGCTTAATATGCAAACAGCAAACGCTTCATGTCTAGTTTGTAAATTTGGACAAGCTGTGGTTGGGACAATGCGATGTGTTGAACGTATTTGACAATTATTATCATAAACTCCATCGTTAGCTATTTAGGCTTATGCTAATACACAAAGGCTACGGGCCGCACTGTTGATACATATACGAATTAACGTTTTTGAGAAAAAATTACTTTGACCTGTATTTAATAGTAAATATACAAACAACAAGTTAAATAATTTAATATAATCGTTGGGGGTCGAGGCAGCTAATTTTATTCTGATAAATGCAAATATTTTAATGTCGATACACATGTAAAAAATAAAAAAATGTTTTCTACTTAAACAGACTACTTTGTAACCCAAATAGTATTGCTATGTCTCATACTCTAGCCAACGTACAAAAATCAATGCATGTAAAAAGAAAAAAAGTATCAGTACGCCGATTAAATAGGTCAGAAATGTCTCAAACAACAATCAAAAAATATTTATGTTTTCTACATTTTTCGTTGAAGTATGGTTGAAGTATTTACCATAATTGACTACCTTTTTGTTTTTGCGCTCAGTGGTTAAAAAAAAGTTCTAATATTTTCTGAGAGCGCGTTTGTTTTTAAGCTTTATGACAGCACACGTATTATGAGCTTGTGATAAAAACATAAGTCATAACTATAAAACTAATAAATAGATAATTAAATAATACATAACAAATGTATTTGTTTATTAAGTCATTTTTAGGATATATGACATGCAATACAGCCAATTTTTAATTAAAATGTCGAATAAAATATTATTGAACAACCAGATTGGTAATTTTTTCAGAAGATTAATATTATCAAACAAATTTACACTAAACGTAGGCTAAACTAAATATCCTAGTGTACATAGTATAAAATAAAATTTCAAAAGTACCATAAAAATGTTTTTAATATATGATTTTAAACATCAACAGTAATTTAAATTGCTTTTACTAAAAAAATAAAAGTATTTTTTTATGCGTACCTGTTATGTTTTTTTATGGACATTCATATTTTATGGGCAAATAATTAAATGAACAAATATATTTTTAAGTAATAATGATTTAAAACGAGCTGTATTTAATATTGTTTTTATTAAAAAACTTAGAATACGATTATACAATTTTAATTATCATTATATATATATATAAATAGAAATTAAAAAATGTAAATTCATATAAATATTTAACTATTTTTTCAGATGAAATTATGTTTTCCAATCCTACTAATCATGCTTACGACTACGTCGGCAAATTTTTGTGCATTCAACAGCATGTGCACATGCAAAACAGACGAAGCCTTAAGAATGCACATTTCATGTGTAGCTGTTCTTTTACATTCAATACCAGGTAATATTTTATATTCACAAACTTATAAGACCGTATTATGATTTAAAAAAAAACCGAACGTTGTTATTTATTTTTTGTAAAATTATCGTTTAAATTTTTTAAATATAAGTACCATCAGGAAAAAGTGAATAGAGTTAGCAGCTCTCGTATTGCTATAAAAATACTTAAAGCTAGGTACTATTTAAAATATAAATAAATATATCATAGTTTGATAATTCTTATTGCTTTAGTTTTTTCGGTATAACTTGTTTATTATAATATAATCAATAAAACAATAATGTTATGACACATTTGAAGATCACATTTTAAAAATTAGCATTTTTCATAATTTGAATAAATACAATGAATTAATTTAAGATAAGTGTCATTATAAGTATATATTGCCTAGTTATTTAAATGAACAGTAAATATAAACAGTACAACGCGGTATAAGGTTACGACTAAAGCGGATAACCTTTAATATTGGTGTAATAACATAAATTAAGTTCTGTATGCAATGAATGATTTTTATGTTTAATACGAGATTACTTGTCCAATTGTGCTTATGTAATAATTTGCGCAAAAAATGGAAATCTCAACCAAACAAGTAAGTTTGGTTAATTCAAGAAATGTGTGTTTTAGAAGTACCAGCTGGCACACGAATAAGTCATATGGACGTCATGTCATCCGAAATAGAAACCGTGGAAAACGACGTACTACAAGGAACGCACATAGAATCCTTACGGCTAATGAGCAACAAAATTGGCTTTGTAGCAGATAGAGCTTTTGCGTGAGTATACTTGAACATAACTTTTGCTAATTTAAAATTACTATTGGGACTGGGACCAAAACTGGATATCTAAAGTAATCCCATTTTCTGTGTAATTTTCATTCAAAAACGTGATTTTACAATGGAAACGGTTATGGGATATAATATCTAGTTTAATGTACCACGTGTGAACAGTCAAGTAATGACAATTTTATTGGTAATTATAATAAATAAGAAATAAAATATGTACATATGACATATGTGAAAAGACTATAGTTTAAAGCTATAATCGACTAAAAAAAAAGCGTTTTTTTACCAAAAAAAATATTGTAATGAATTTGTGATATGCGTACAACAACAATTTGAATACTATCTCACTGATACGAAGATGTGTGCAAATCGTATGAAGCTAATTCCACGAATATATTTCAAACGTTAATAAATGGACAAGGTAGGAAAAATTTGAGTAGTCGCGTCGGTGACATACTATAATATACCTAGTTGTACGAGACAATGAAAATGGACAAAGAAGTACAGTTTTTTTTTCAAGACAGAATACTTAAGTCGATAGTCTCGGAAACGAGGTAACTACTCTGGAGGATTGTACGCGTTAAGTTTATCTATCGTTTTTAGTGTCACACATAACAAAAGTTGTTTATGTCCATTCTCGCGTTAATTAGCAAACACACCCTTGGCAACTCGGAATTGTAATACGTGCTGAACTAATATGAATTATAAACGATTTAGTCGGATCAAATATTAATTCACGACTCTTCTTCATTTAAAATTCTCAATTCTCAAGTATTTACATATGGTATATTATTCACATTTAGGTACTGATGTTTTGATCATTTTTGTTCATGATAAAAGGCACGATAACGATTTTTAATAAACTTGTATAATGCTTATTGGCTTTAGGTTAAGTCAACGTTTGTTCGCTACACTACAGCCCGTATAAATACTAAATTACTGAGGCGATTTGAACACCTTTAAAAATAAAACCAGGATTTTAATGTTTTGTTTTTTTTTCCTGGCTATTTTTCGATTACAGGAAAAACAGCAACTTTTTAAAACTTTTTCACCATATCAGCCATCACGTCACTGGTACGATGGCTGCTAAAAAAAGATAAAACATTAAAATGAAGACTTTAACTTTTCTATCTGAGTAGAATGTGTCAGTGTAAGATAAACCAAAATATTTCCAAACTAAATATTTTTAAATTTTAAACAAAAAACCTAAATAATTTTGCGATTTCATAATTTCTTAATAAATTAACATATCAACGTTGAATTTGGATAATATGTATCTTATTTTGAAGATGGTAACATTATGCAGGTGCATGTTTTTTTAAATTACATTTATCGACGGTATAATGGCGTCATATAACATCAGTTGTAATTCTACTTTAAGAAACTCAACTTTTAGGTTGTCAAATAGTTGAAAATTCTTCTATAATAATTTAGGTACCATTTAATAAATAACCGGAACTGAGTTCCTTAAAGTTAAATCATATGTTTATAAATTACACAAAGACACTGTTATACTTTCGTGTACATAATAGTCTATATAGTAGCTACGATAAGTTAAATTGTGTATATATTTATTAAAACCCACAGCTGTCATTGCCACAGCTTTATAAACAATCTGTTGTTTGTTATTATTACATGTAATATACACTTCGTGCTTTTAACGTAGGTAACGACAAGGAGTGATAATTTTGTTTGCTAACAATGTGTCCTAATGTATACACTTTGTCCTACGGGAGTGTAGTCATCTGCTCTTTATTTTCCCTTTTGTGGATTATAAACATACTTATCCATAACTTCAGCACTTAGCGTGTAAAGTGAAACACAAAAGTGTTAAGTTATAGAATAAAATATAATCGTAAAACATTTGATCATGACTGAATATTTCAGGGAAAAAAATACTTTTTTTCTTAAAATAAAGGTATAATTAAATATTAGTGCATTATTCTTAAAATAATTAAAATTACTAAACATTTAACATGTTTAAAAAATCAACAATTGAATGTTTTCGAAAACGTCCATTGGCTTTTCTTTTGACCAAATTTTAACAAATATATTGTATTACATGTTTATATTAAAAACTTTGATATTAAATATTTTATATAATCCAATTATTTAAAAAACGCCACCTTAACCGTATTAGCTTATTTTGAGAAGATTTATTTTTAAGATTTTATACTAGTTGACTAAAAAATATTAATTATATGCTTTCGAGTACTAAATAATAAAAAGTATTAAAAAAATAAAAATTAATGTTAAAATGTTTTTTTTATGACTTAGTCCAAACCGTTGATTTTATAGAGGTTATAAAATACATTGCCACGGTGACTGTATTGCTATTTTTAATATCACGTTTAATTCAATATTTTAATTTACAAGTATTGCATGTGTTATAGATATACCACATTACGTATTACCTATGTAATAGGTATACTTAAGTATATTATTTTTAAATTTTATATTTTTGATAGTAAATATTCACAATACTCTTTAAAGGTTTTCATTTACTGATAAAAGTTTTAAATTGGAAACTTCCATTACAATATTCTGTTGCCAGAAAATTATGGAGATTTTTACTGTGGTGATTTAATGAGAAAATACTTATTAACTTCAATCAGTTTCTACTTACCGCTCGAACGTTAGCAAAAAGTTTGCTGTGTTTTTAAATCACGACGCAAAACTAAAAATAAATTAAGCTGAAAAAATGAACTTCAGTAAATATTTAATAACAATGTTCAAAAGGAAATCCGCAAGTTCTCTACACCAGATGAGAATGTTTTGACTGATTTTTTTATACATTTTAAAGAAAATAATTGCCAAGATTTTTAAGCTTGTCAGAATCAATAAACTGTTGAATTGTAACTTTTTCATCTGCAGTTTATATAGCTTAAAAATGTATTTTGTATATGTTTGTTAAAAGTCAACAAAGACAAATATTGTTAAAAGAATAAATTAAAACAAATATTTTTCATAAGTTTTATTTCGGTAAAGCAACAATGTACAGTTACAGAGCATATTTTTGTCGAATTAAATACATAATATCTGTCTTTAAGTTAGGTGATTTGTTTTCATTTTAATTGATAGCATAAAGTGAAAAAGAATTAGAAACTAACTATTCAAATTAGCTGCATTTGCTATAAAAATTGAAATGACAATTACCATATATATTTAAAACTTACTAAAAACTTTACTAATAGTTTTAGTATTTTAATGATAAAACTCAATGTATCAAATTCTACTTGATAGTATAAATTTATACTACAATTCAAACATGTTATTAAATAACATATATCATTTTCATTTTTATATGAGAAATAAAATGTACATATTGAAAGATTTAATTTGAATATTTATTTTGTCATACTTATAAATAATTTACTAGGTAATGTTAATTATATTTAACCCTACTCGGTCATGTTGTCTCTTACTCTTAAAATGTATTATAAGATAACCTATTTTTATAAATACTAATATCTGTTTAAACAATTGTTTTTTTTTTACAGATTATCCGGTTCGGTACTCAGAGCACTTGATCTCAGTTATAACCAATTAAACAGTGTACCATTAAAATCTTTAAATAATATAAGAAACTTAGACTGGCTAAATTTACACGGGTAATTTATATGTCTTAAAATTAACTTTTTAAAATTAATTACCATGATTTTTTTTTTTTAATTTTCTTCATATTTATTTCAGCAATAACATTGAAGTTATAGACCCTCACTGGGGCCATCTAGAGGATACTTTACAACATTTATTTATCGGCGAAAATGATTTAACTACATTTCCGGATTTCTTTTCAAATTTACGAACACTGTCTACTTTGAATTTAGATAATAATTTGCTTACTTCGGTTCCAGCATCCATCAAAACTCCGCCATTACTCGAGACATTAAGCATATCGAATAACTTCTTGGAAGAGTTTCCAGTGTCCATTACTGAATTAGGGACTTCGCTAAACAGATTATATATACGGGATAATTACATAAAAAATATAACCAACATAATACCAAACAGATTTGTCAAACTGGAGGTTTTAGACCTAGGCATGAATCGTCTAGAGAGTTGGTCAGGTCGCATGTTTGGCGGCCGTTCAGAAGTTCGAAATCTACATTTGGATATGAACCGTATAGAAGTCTTAGAAGCAAATGCGTTTGACGGATTAAGATCAGTTCGTATGTACTTATCCCGTAATCGACTTCGGAGTTTAGACCATAAAACTTTCGAAGGGTTGGAAAGAATACTAGAATATTTAGATCTTGAACATAACTTACTCGGTGAAATTCCAACGGCTGTGAGAACACTGAAGAATCTAAAGTTTCTGTATTTATCATTTAATGATCTTGGTCACTTGGATTCAGAAGATTTTTCAGGCGTATCTTCCAGTTTACGGTCGTTATCATTATCGGGGAATCGTTTGACGGAAATTCCTAGTATTGCATTAGACAACTGCACTAAACTATCACATCTAAATTTAGGATATAATTTTATACACGAAATTAAAGAAAACTGCTTTGGAGTTTGGGCTGAACACTTGGATACTCTACTGTTAATGAACAACAAGTTGACGGAACTCACCGGGAGACCATTTAAAAAAACCATTTCGTTAAGAGAACTGAGTTTGTCTTTTAACAATATTCATTATGTAGATGCGGATGTATTCATTGATTTATCCTCATCACTCGAAAGCTTAGAAATAAGTTTCGGTGTTTACTATGATAATTTCCCAGTGAAAATACTCAAACACCTCAAGTCTCTAATGTGGCTGGTGTTGGATAACAACGATATACTATCTGTATCAGTTGATTCACTCAATTCGCTGGAAAAATTGCAGTACCTTAACATGGAATCAAACAAAATTTCTGTAATAGCTCCTGGGACATTTTCGGCTTCAAATCTAACCCGTCTTCACGACATAAGACTGAATCAAAACAATTTAATGTCATTGGAGCCGAATACATTTTCAAATTTACAGCAGCTACAAACTGTTACCGTCTCAAGAAACAAAATTATCGAAATCATGGCACACGCGTTCAATGATCTTCCTCGTTTGTTAAATGTTGATTTGTCGTTCAATAAAGTTGAATATATTCAACCAGCAGCGTTCAATCATCTACCGAATTTAAAACGCGTCGACTTACAAGAAAACCAACTAAAAGAATTGCGAATAACGTCATTCATAAACTCGACAAATTCAAAACAACCTTTGTCATTAAATGTATCAAAAAACTACATTGAACGTGCTCCAGTCGATGACCCTCTAACACCCATTCACGTGAAACTTTTAGATTTAAGTTATAATAATTTACAAGACGTGCCATTTGAACTTTTATATCTAGTATCAGGCTCAATCAAAGAGCTATATCTAGACCACAATAAAATTCTTAAAATTTACAACTCCGAATTCGTTAATTTATTTAATTTGGAAGTCATATCATTGTCTGGAAACGGTATCACATCCATAGCTTCAAAGGCATTTTGTAATTTGACTTCTTTACAAGTGCTCGAGTTGTCTGATAATAAATTACATCAGTTATACACTGAACAGTTTGCAACGTTACCAAAACTCAGGATCTTATCATTGGCCGGAAATAATTTAAAGTCTCTAAGCTGGGATGTTCATTCGAGTACGCCTCTTGAATCTTTGGATTTGTCCAACAATCGCCTACTAACAGTACCAACAGGCGTTCTGATGAAGACGGGATCGACGTTAAAGCATCTTTCACTTGCAGGCAACCGAATAGATCATATTGACGGCACAACATTTTCGGGAATATCAAAACTGACCAATTTAAGTTTGGCTGATAATAAGTTAACTATTATTCCAGATAATGCATTTATAGGACTTGCGAGTTTATTATCACTGGATTTATCTTTAAATAATATCAGAGCAAACTTTAAGGAATTGTTTCATTATGTCCAAAACATCAAACATTTGAATTTGGCTAACGTAGGGCTAAGTGAAACTCCACCGTTTCCGCTTCCCAATTTAGTTACACTCCGTTTGTCTCATAACAAGTTAAAAACGATATCTAGAAATTCAATGGAAATGTTGACCAAGCTCAGAACGCTCTACATTGACCACAACGAGCTTTCCTATTCTCCAGCGAACGTATGGTCATTATTACCATCTCTGAAATCATTAGATTTATCGTCTAATCCTATAAAGGTAATTCCTTTCAATTCTGAATGTGTAATAAATATAAAAAAAGTAAGCCGTATTTAATTGAATTGTATATTATATTGTTTCAGACTATTACTAAAGCGAGTTTTACAGATCTATTTCGATTGCAGCACTTAAAAGTACAGCAGCTATACTATTTGGACCGTTTCGACGCAGGGTCACTATCCAAACTATCTTCGCTCCGTTCGTTGGCCACTGATTGGAGACCGAATCTCGGGCAAATAGTTTGTGCTGCTGTGCGTTCCATACGAAGCGTGTCGGTCTATGTAAACCGACCCCGACTACCAGGACCCATAGTGGATCCTTGTGGTCCGAAGTTGGAATCCGTGGACATTACAGGATCTAAACTACGGATACTGGACCCGTTAACATTTGCGGATCTAAAATTAGGGGCTGGCGATAGACTAGCTATCAGTATAAGAAACACTGCCATTGAAGATTTGCCAGCCGATTTGCTGTTGCCGTTGGTTGGTGTGCCCAAACTCACTTTGGACTTAACGGGGAACAAACTCACTTCACTCAATCCGTCGACCGTGTACTCTAATTACACTACATGGGAAAACTCCGGAACGAATGTTTTAAAAGGTATGGTTTTTCGTGATCTATAGTTACTTTTAATCGGTTAGGTAAATTATTTTTTAAAATATTATCGAATATTTCGTCTTAATGTTTAAAAAAAAAACACAATCCAAATATTATATAATATATAAAATAGAGAAATTAGTAGCACTATGTACAACGGTATACAGTTGAACTTCGGTAGAAATAAAACCAGTGTACACAATACCAAACAAGAAAGATTTTCAGCGGGCACCGCACATGTAAGTCACTTAAAAAAAAACAGTAAAAAGACAACGGAGGGTTTTGATACGAATTGAACGACCAAGTAAATACATTTTTTAACAACGTCACACGTGGTTTATTTGCGGACCAGCCATTGTTCGTGCCATGCAAACATAGTGGGTTTTTTCATTTGTGTCTACCGGGAAAAAAACAAAAAAACACTAAAGGGGTGAGACTGCAGACCGACCGCCGACGTGGTGGCGGTAAGGGAAGGAAAAAGAGTACCGAGCACGTCGAGTATTTAGACTGACAAGTGTGCGGAAGTTTGTTTTTTGTTTCTTCTTGCTAAAGGGCTAGTGTCACAGTGGCAAAGTGAAGTGCTGACGGAGTGCCGCTTGACAAGCAAAAGAGAGTGTATACACTATACGCGAACGGAGATGGCAACAGTGGTCCTTCGCACCACCGCAGACGAGGAAAACATCACAAGGGTGGTTATATTAAAGCACATCTGTGTCCGTGCGGATATATTTTTCTACTTCTAAGACCGCCGTCGCATACTACTTTTCCTTCTCCTCCTCATCAACGCCACAGTCACATTCGTGGTGTCGCGACTTTTTGTAGAGCCACACACGCGCTCTCCAATTTCGGACGGTTGTTTTTTTTTCTCGGTTGTTTTGTGTTTTATTTGTTAATCCATTTATGATTTTCTTCTATACGTTCTCTTCGCACTCTTGGCCAACGTTTGGTCGATAAACACATTTCGAATATACCGTACCACAGTAAACCGTCAAGCAAAACGTTATCGTAATGACATGCCGACGTCACCGCAACCGCCTTTTTTGATACGTTAAAATATTAGTATTTGAAAAACTTTTTTTTTAAATATCAGGTACAAAATGTACGTTTTGCAAATCGACATTTTTTTTTTTAAATACTTATTAACAATTCATTCGGTACTTTGGCATGAAGCTACGTGAAAAATGTCATACATTAAACCTGTCGTGATAGTGTACGGTGACAACTGTACAATAATAATCGCTTTTGGAAGTATATTATTATGGTAGGGCGGATATTGTAGTCGTTCGAGGGAGGGAGACATTATAAGTGCATAGCGGAGAGAATAAAAAATGAACGTTACAAAGGTAAAGGTAACATTTTGTTAGACATTTTTATTGCGACAGTTGTATAGGACATTATTTTGTTTGCATTAAACAAAAAAATCAACAGTTAAATTTCATAAACAAATGCACAGCAAACTAAAAGTATTCTCCTGTCTGTCACAAAGCTAACTGCCAAGTCGTTTTTTTTACATTTTTAATGTAGCTTATCGAAATTGCATACATCATGTAAGTCGAATAAACGATTTATTTTTTAATAACATATTAGGTAAATATTTAACACACTATTACAATAAATTATACTGAGTTCAAAAAACGACTTTAATACTTTTTGATTATACAACTCGTGTTTTATGTGCCGCAATGGACAATTAGGAAATATTAAAGAATTAAAACAAAAATGAGTAAAATAAAAAATGAAATATAAAGTGAGTTATAAAAGATAGTATGGTTGTAAGTTTAATACAAGACATTTAGCACGAGTGAAAACTTAGAATACGAGTATTAAGATCAAAAAAACGACCATAAAGTAAATGATAAGTCCATTTTTTCCATTATCATTTGAAAGTCCTTTATGTTATTATAAGTGAAAAGTTCATAAGTCGATCGGGTCAAACGAATGGCGCTTGTTTGTCAATACATAATATGGAGTATAGAAATACTCCATAATTTTATATTAGTTCATAAGTTGTTGGGCCCAAAGGTAGAATATTGTTTTATTTTTTTAAATAGAGATAATGTAGTATACATGTATTGTGATGACCGCGTCACTGATATTTGTATACATAAGGAAATAAAAAATAACCAACATTTCATTGTGATTGTCGTATTTTCCTACATCTTGAGTAGAACGGTTTTTTTAAAATCCTTTACAAATGCAAAGTATGTTGTCTGTCAGTCGACTTTAAACCGGAAAATACCATCAACGTTTTGCTTTAATTAAATTTTCAAAAGAATAAAGTGGTATAATACATTATACGAATCTTGAAAATAGCTAAACAGTAATAATTTAAAAATATATTCTAAACGAATTTTGATTTTTAAAAAGTAAAATATCACTCGAAGCCACAAATGTAATTACTTTCGACACAGAAAAGATTCTCAAAATATTAAAGTTCATATAAGGAAAATAATGTTTACTGTTAAACCTTATACGTATGAACACAAGTTTAGTTATAATATCCTTCTTGAAATTTTGAAGGGAGCATACTAGTATTTAAAATGGATTATTCGTTATAATTTAAAATGTTAAAAGTATCACAACTCTAATAGTCTAATTTCTACCATACACAAAACCCAAATAAGTTAAAAATCGAAGATTTCATCAAGCGTTTTTTTTTTAAAGCACACAATTAACAAAATGGTTCAAATATTTTCTTCAAAGAAATTTTTTTGTTCTAAACATATAAATGTTGTTTTTAATTTCTAGATCCCATACTGTTGTATTATAGCATACAGTTACTCTGTTTTCAATACAATAATAATTTTATTTTTTGTTTCAAAGCGAATGTAAGAGAATACATTTTTTTTTAAATTTTATCTGGTGTCCTAAACGTTCATTAAAGCATAACATTTTTAGTAATAACTACAATAAAGTACTTATTCAAATTTAAATACGAGTATTAATTAATTTAAAATAAAATTATATTATTCAACATAAATGTTAGTAAAAGTTATATGCAAATAAGTATTGCTACTCTCAACAATAGATACATTTAACAACAGCTAGTAAATTTAACTTCTTGTTCTAGGTAAAAAAGTAGCAATAGCTACATTTTGTTGTACATACTTTATTTTATAATAATAAATCCCAATATAAAGTACAAATACAAAATGTAATGTTAAATCGTATATAAGAGGCTTTGAGAGAATTTATTAAATTTTTTCATTAGAAATTTAAATTTAAAAGATTTTTAAAAACTACAGGCAACTTGTTGTTTATATTTAATACTATTAAATACTGAAGACAAAATATGCACATAATTAATTTGAGTGTTACAATGATATTATAAGGAGTCAATTTAAATACAATTTATTGGAATTAGTTTTACTGATGAGTTGCCATTTGAAATGTTATTATTCCTAAGTTTCTGTAGCAGTGATGTCCTTATTGGACTTTCAAAATTTATTATTTTAATAATTAATTACCTACTGCTTAGGTACTGACAGAATTAGTGAATTTCAAGCACAGAGTTCTTAAACAAAACCAGTTAATTTTAATTAATTTACTAAAAAAACTCTGATGTTTAGTTGATACATACTATAAATAATACACATTTTAGATCTACTAAAATATTTACTTAATTTTAAGATATGAGATATAATTTGATTTTTCAATAAAACATAAACATTTTAAATGAATGTCATTATACAATAGACTTAAAAGTCAGTTTAATCTAAATATATTCCGAACACGTTTACTTGACACATGTATAGAAATATGATTTAAGAATCGAACAATAGAAAATATACTTCGATCAGCACATTATGCCTTCTTTAAATATTTGAACGCCGTGTTTTAAGATTGCCGCGTTGCTTTTATCAATTTACCATGTTCCATGTATAAGATAAAATGTGTAAAAAAGAGCAACACTTTAAATACTCCTTATAAAAAAGTCTTTTTTATAGTGTATTAACTCCGTGGATTTCATGTAAAACACTTGAGAAAAAAATACATCAGGGATGTAATACAGCATTGCTTATACTTCCATACTACATATTTGATTACTTATTTTTATGCATAAGAGAACCACTATAAACCCATTACGAAAAAAGACAGTAAAAGTTTAAAAAATAAACAATATTTTGTTTTAGAGTAATGCAAAGTTAATATAGCAAAAATAAGTTATCTTTAATATTAATTATTTTTTTAATTTTTATATGAAATGTTATGTATTACTAGAAATTTTTTTAATTTTATTTTCCTTTATGTCAAATAGTTTTAATTTAAAAAAAAAAACAGTTTGTTTATCTTTTACAAAATTTACATTTGTTTTTTTGGCTATAAACTTACATATTTTATAACTTTTAAACTTGAAGACAAAAATTGATCGAATTAATGGAAAACACGCGATTTTATATTTACTGCTTATAAGTGAACAATTCATTACAATCCTCAAATAATAAACAAACATATTTAATAAATATTCATTACTGATTCTCGTACTTTTATTATCTCAATGTTTATTGGTAGTCCATTGAAAATAATGACTTATTAAAAACGATTAAACTTACTGTAAATGCAAAGAGTTGAAACCAAACATAAACTAAAAGGTCTTATTCAAATGCCAACATTTAACAATTTTTTACGGCAAAGGTATTATGGTGCTTCTTTTTCTTCGTCTTCCAACTCCTAGAGTGATGCAGAACAAACTCTTATTACTTGCTGTACCATTTGGTTATTGACTTTAATAATCCACTTCTATGGCTGATAAGGGTCTTCTCGCTTGCCGTTTTCAATTCGGGACGTCTTTTGAAATTTAACTGGATCTTACTGCAAGTCCCAGCCAGTTCACTCACGCTTACCTAATTACCACTGTTATATCTGCCTACCTATTATTTTCTGCGCTCCACGGAAAAAAATGTAATCAAGGATATCATGTTATCACTCGTATTTTGCCTCTTATCTCGTATCACTTATCTGTAATCTCTCATCTCTGACTGAAAGTGAAAGTGTACCGCGAAAATAGCGACATGACAATGGCCATTTCTTCTTGCGTCCAGCCCAATAACATATCCGTGTTAATATATTTTGTAATGGCGCGTATGGCCTATAATAGCGTACATCATATTTTGTTTAAACCTGTTGCAGGAGGCTTGTTCCTGGACGACAATCCTTTGCAATGTGATTGCGGACTATTGTGGTTGGGCCAATGGCTGCGACGATGGCTCAGGGAAGCGGTACAGGTGCACACTCTTGGAATGGCCGAAGCTCAAATGGCACATTCGACCGTGCGACGAGTCATGTGCTCAGACCCCCGGAACGGTGGTGCTAGGGTGCCCGTAGCCGACATCTACCCCGAGGATTTGCGGTGCAAGGCCAGTGCGCTGAGCGGTAGCGGGACGGGCAACACGGCCGCAAAGACGTCTCACTTGATCGTGTGTTTGCTCCGAGCACTGGTGGTTTTCTATTTGGCCTCGGTCTGGTGTAACGTATGCTGAGCTCTAGGCCATTTGCATGCACCGTGTCAATTGTGTATAATATATCATTTTATCTGTTTTGCCATCGTTTCTTCTTTTGGCTTCGTCAAAAAGTCTGTGATGCCTAATGTAGTTTTTTTTTAGGGTTTCCTCCCGTTCGGCCGTAGCCGGATAAAACGATTTTTCGAAAGCCAATAACGGTATGCAAACGGCTTAATAACGTTATTTTATGTATATATATATTATGTACATTAAAAATTAATTAGAAATAATTAAACCACAGTAAATACAATGATTTAATTGTTTGCAGTCATATAAAAAAAAAAAAAAAATCCAGCCTTGTGATAATAATCGACGTACGCGCTATAACTTAACTATACTATATCGTATTTTATACAATTTTGTGTACAGTTTAATGTTTTACAAAAACTACATTATGTATCCATTTTTTTTCCGTCACTTTATATAAATAATAAACATATTCTGCACATAACAATTAGCGTTGAAAAATAACAATATTATGCTTCGTTATTAATGAGATGACATTTTGCAAAAATATAACAACTATAAACAGGGTCTCTTCGTAGATATTCGGTCTTGAATAAATTTAAATCCAAACGACCTTGATTTTAGGATAACATTTTGTTATGAGGTTCGAGCGATTTAAGTAAACGTATACCTACTAATCACTATTACTTCATTTAAAAATGTCTTGTTATAGCCATCCCATGTAGTACAAATAAAAACCAAAACTACTTACAAAAGGTGAAGTTGGGTAAATACAAATACTACATTTATCAAAGTAATAATCAAAAGTTGGTAATTATTTTCTATTTTTTTTTTTTTGCTTTATAATAATATAGGTAGTGGCATCTACCCATTCAGTTGATAAATAAAATATGTGTCTCACCCAACCTAAATACGAATGTTTGATCGATTTCGCTTTGTAGTAGCTGACTGACATTTTATATGAACATTGTGTAAGTCATTTTTTATAGTGTTTATGCGTATGCACGGTTGAATATTAAATGAATTACCTATATTGAGAGAGAGAGAGAGAAGAATACTATAGGTACAAAAAATCGTTTCATTTTAATTTTAATTTTCCATGCTGAATGCAATAATCAAGTAACACACTTATGTACATAAAAAAATATGCATTTTTCGCAAAACAGAACACCATTGTAAATATTTAAAAATAGCAGATTAATTCTGTTTTAACAACGCCGTAATGAAATTATTTCTTCGTATTTAATTTCTGTTACAAAGCGTAGAACTCTTCCCGTAACCCTAAAATTAAAGTATTCGATTTAAATCAATGTTTCACAAGAGTTTAAGAGTTATTATCTCTTTTTGGGGAACTGAGGTTTTTAACAATGTTTTTTCGAAAAAAATGATTATTCATTAGAATATGAAGTAAAAGTTTGAGCACGAAAACATTATCCGTAATGATAAAATTATAATGTTTCAAACGGAAAATTTCACCGAAACATAATCAATAAAAAAAAATAATAATACTTTAACCTAAATGCTATGTCAATTGGCGACCTGCATTGTGAGTGAGGAGCTCGCTAATAAAATTTTATCTTTCTCACCTAAAATAATTTTTATTGCATATCCAGTATGAATACAAAACCGATAACAACGCCATATGGCACAATCATTCAAAATTTGTTATGGTCTGCAAAAAGCTGAGGAAGTTTATTTGACTAATATTTTAAAAATTATCAAAATACATTTGAAATTCCGGTTAACCTATTAAATGCAAAATTGAATATTTAGATTTTAGTTCTGTCGCTTGTATAAATGTTCCACTAAAGGTTTGAATTATTATGACTAACAAGAACAATATGATCCAGGCAGAGGTAAACATAATTTTAAATTACTTTCTATTTAAAGATTATAGTTTTTGATGAATTTTACGGTATTTGGTAAATTAAACATTAACTTATATGATACTGTAAATAGTTTAATGTAAATTAAAATGTTATTAATATTATAATTGTAGTATATTAAAATCGTTAAAAATTAAGTGTCCTGTTAATATTACCATTTATCCTTCCAGCTACTATAATATTATATACCTATTGTAAGTATTATATAATTTTATTTAATAATAAGACCGTTAAGACATGTACTTAAAGTTGTTAAATTTCATGTATGTACCACTATTATAGCTTTGTTTTGTAAATAATAAATAAATATCAATATTTCATAAAAAATATTATTGTTTCATTATTTTACATGCTAGCATTTTTCTTTATATCATATATAACTTCATATCAGCGGCGAACATGTATTGACAGTACTGGTGTCACTCAAAATATGCTTCAGTACAAATTTAAACTAATGAATATATAAAAAATAAAATATTGTTATGAAAAAGAACATTGAAGTTCCTACTTATAAAACAAATATTAGTTTGTAAAAGATTATACGGAAACAGGCAGAAATTATATTTATGCAGTAATTCAATAATAAACGTTGGAGTATATACTTGAATTTAACAAAATATTTTTATAAATTTGTAATAGTAGAAGGTTTTTGTAAAACATTTATGCTTACATAAATGAAATTACCTAGTACCTTTTTTTAAGTGAATTTGGTTCACGTCATGTAACTTTATTGATACAGTATAAACTAGTTTTAAATCAGCTACTTTCCAATCTGAAAATTGAATCCAAAAATATTAGTACTTAACAAAATTGCTTTTTATTAGCTTTAATATGTGACAGCGAGTGAAATACCTCAATAAAAACTTAAACTTCGAAGTTTGATGATTTTTTAATGAATTAGAATGATACCTCAGATTTTATTTTAGTTTTTACCAGTGGCTCGAAGTTACCGCACGTATCACAGACGCCAAAACTATCATTACAAATCAATACCTTCCCAACATCATATCAAGATTAAGGTAAAAGTCTAATAAAAATTTAAAATAAGTATTTCAGAAGCATTCAAGTGTTATCGTTCGAATTATTATATACCTGCGGATAATGTTTTCTATAATAGTTGTGATAATTTTTTCAGTACTGACGAATTTTCAAAAATGAAAATTAATTTTTCGTAATGTGTTTTATTTTAAATGAAAAATTATACCATCAGGATTTTATTATTGCGTTCAAGGGATTTTATTATAGTATGTGTACGCTGCAAATTGGACAATATAATAATATAGGTACATTTTTTCAGCTTTTTCCAAAGAGGTGTATAGATGTTATAGCAGTAATGGCGGAAAAACTGAATGGTCAAACGTTAATTTTGTATTATTATGTACACACTATTATTATAGTGAACGGTAATTAAATCGTCAGACATAGAGCCTCGGGGTCGTGGAATTAGTCTATGATGTAACATAATATCGAAGTTCGCCACGTTGGTGTGTATATAGCAAAAATAATGACCGCTGCTAGTTGGCAATTTACGATCTTGTCCTGTTTGCAGTAAAACGGTAACACGGAGTGTGTTAAAGTTGTTAAACGATGTTAAACTGTACCTAATAGGAGCAACGCCACTAAAATGGCAAAGAGTTGTATTGGATCACGTACGCATAAAAAGATTAAACTCAAACTTCGCTCCCGATTAAAATTACAACAACAAAAATAGTTCAATACAATTTGTTTTCATACATAGATACTGTGACATTAGGTTGTGTGTATATTTACGTAGGAATTAATAAAATGCTATAACTACGAAATAATTGTCTTAGCAATCTTAATATAAACGCAAATGGTTATAATATTGAAGTAAAACAAATAATTTTTAAGAGTAGTTGTTTTAGCAAAGCACAATTTTAGCAAAATAATCAGTTGATTTACAATTTTAGGCAAATAATAAATGATCCAAAGCAATAATTTTCGAATAAATACTTGAGTATTTAGTTATTTATTTTTATTTACAGGCGTTGCCTAATAGAAAAAAGAAACGCAGTGGCTAGTGCCCACCGATAATCTAAACATCAACAAGTCAAGTATCTTCTTTACAAAACAAGATATTATTTGTAATGCAGTATTCCGCTTTAAATAAGTGAATTAAATACACTTAGGTCACTGCTCAAATTTTCAACGCTATACTCTCTAAGCTACCCTTATTTTTAACTGAACACTAACAGAGTATTTTGATCACAAACTGTAAAAACTATATTCAAAAAGTTTTAAGCAGAAACAATTATTTCCCATAAACGTTTTGGAATATTATCTGACGTTTGTATTGGAAGATTGTAGTAGGTAAGTGACCCAGTTCGCAAGAAATCAAACAAAGATAATGATAATTCTGAATTATTTTGTTGATATATTTTTGTTAAAATTAAATTGTGCATTCCTATGATTATTACTAAATTGCTACACAAATCGTTTCTGCTCGTTTTTCGTGTAATGTTTTATAAAATGACTTTTGTTTTATAAATAGGAACTTCTATTTGCTTTTTCTTTATGACATAAACGTTTTTTTAACGTGTACTCTGGAGCTACATTGCTCAATTATTAAAAGATACCAATACTTTTATTTACTCTAATTGATTATTTTCATCACTTTTTTGTGAACCACACCAAAAATTTAACTTTAATGTATTTCTGAGAAACACGAATAAGTTTCTAGTTAAAGCGTCTAAACATTTCATTAACAGAGGTTTAAAAGGTTCATGTAGTTGCCGCCCATGTCATAAAAATGTTTTCATAAGATGTATATTATACAGTTTAACTGTTTTAGTAGTGTAGGTAATAAAGGTATTTTAACTAATTACTGCGGAATTTAAATTAAACTCTGTATTATCTCCTTCGAAATAACTAAGCAATGCTGTAGACTTTGCTTCACTAAAGGATGTCTAATGTGTTAACGTCATAACATAATCCTTAATCATAATATTACTACAACATTTTCAGTATTTTAATTTCACTAAAATCTGAGTTGTAAAACGAAGAGTTTTACTAATAGCTACCACGTAGGTAGATGTAGTATAAATATGAAAAATGTGTTTTTAAAATGATAAATAAAAGTACATTTAATTATATAAAGAGGTAGTAAAACTCAATTGCAAAATAAATATTTGAAATACTTTACAATTCTCAGTTCAGCAAAAGCACCGCAGTGCGGAGGCACTAATAAATGACGGAAGTCACATGCATCTGGTGATCAGAAGTTTCTAGATATTGTGATAAGAAGTATTTTGGTTAAGTTGTAGCATCGTTTGGAAATTTGAATGCGATACGTGGATGTTGTGGTTTTTGTTACCTCGACCTAAAACTTTTAGGTCTTTTCAAAGCAAAAACTCTGTAGATGGATTTATAGAATTACTGATAAAGTCCCATTCATATTATTATGTTTCTAACGTACGATGTTGCTCATGTTTTCAAAAATATGTTTTTTTATCCAAATAAAATAAAATATATAACAGAAGCATAGGCTATAGCTTTCAAATACTATTCGAATATTTTTCCAATATATTTTATAACACCGTCAATCTTTCCGTTATATTATTTTTCGATAATTATTTTTTTATTATGGTTTATATTTTCATTTTTATTACTTACTAAATCTACAAAACAAACTCTACATACATCCATTTAAGACACTCGCACTAATTGCGTGTAATTTGAAGTAAGAGTTTAAAACATATTTTGTATCATGAATAATCAAGGAGTTAAAATCTACTAACGTTGACTATGTTAACAGTTGACAAAACATTTACCTTAACACGTCCAGTACGTCTTGAGTCCTGGTAGCCAAGTAAACGTCATGACCGCCGGCCTCGAGTGCGATTAGATTGACTATAAATAATAAATAAATATAGATGAAAATTTCCAACACCGCACACTTATAAATATTAGCGTTGTTGGACGGAAAGGAATAACTGGACTTATTCTTTTGTTTTTTTATTTTAGCTAAGCGAGTATGGTTTAACATTTAACTTGACCTTTCATCGATAATAGTTAAGTACATGAAATATGTTTTTTTTCCTAATAACATTGTCACGCTTTACCGCCACCCTAATAACACTGTAAAGTCGATAAGAGGAAAACAAGTTTCCCATATCTTCTATCACCAAATAAGAAGTCTACCCTACGGTTATCGAATAATCATATTTTAGTAGGTACTTCACAAAGAAAAATACTCGGGTATACACTTTCGACAAGTATGGTATAGCTTATTTCTTTCTTTTTACTGCCGGGAAACTAACGTGAACTTCCCGTTGTCTGTCCTGATGAGATTTAAAGCTACAACGATGAAGATCAAAGAGAATCGTTTTCTCATTCGATCGCCTATAAAATCCACCAAATGACGTGTTGTGTATATCTTAATGAGTTTTTCAAATACTAGCGATTACCCATTGCACGCGCCAAACAGTAAACAGCTGTATTGATTACTTATGCACGTGTACTACGTTTATTTAATGCATATTAATAATATATAACACATTTTTTTATTACCTTTGCTGCACCCCAACAACCTTCAATAGTGCATGGAAATGTATACAACACACACGCTTATGTTGTACACATTTATAATATTAGAATGTATAATATAACCTGTACCTATATAAATATGTGTTGTTTTTTTTCATTATTCTTTTTTTTTTTTTGCCGACAACATTAAATTATTTTCTCCTCCGTGACTGTCAACTATCAAAAATGACGGGCGGATTGATGGGCCTCGTTATAACGTAACATATATAATAATATGTACCTGTGCCATACAAATACCACGGAACTCAAGTTTTCCCAAACACCTTCCACTTCCAACCGTGTGGCGTGGATATGTCTAGACCTGTGTGCAAGCAGCGTAAAACTCATTCGCGTGTTCGGTTATTAATTTGCTATAGTAATAAGTACGTGCAAATATATCTAAGGCCGAAGAAAGGCAAAATCAGGCAAAGACCCGAGCAATCTGTAATTATTTATCGATCATGAAACTTTTCAAGTTATACGCACCTAGAATAAAAAAACTTAGAAAAATGTTATTTTCGATAATGTTCATAATATTACCACACGATTAAGATTGCATCATACTACTATTTGCATTTAAAAAATGTCTTTCAATCACACATCGTGTATTGATGTAATTTAATGCAAATACCTACTACTGAACTTCACAGAAAATATATACCCTGAGGCATTTCCTGTGACAGTTTTTGTAACAGTTTTTTCGGTTATACGCCAGAGCTAAGACATGAAAATGTCAACAAAAAAACTAGTTTATCAACTGCCTTGTAAGAAATACATACGGGGATTAAACGGCAATACGGATTTGGCTTAGCTAATTTAATATGTTATTAAGAGCAATCGTTGTCACAAAAAAATGCCTGGCCAATAAATAAAACACATGGGAATAAACATTTTAATTATACATCAACATTATATTGAAACACAATTATTAACACATAAAATTGATTATTTTAACTATTTCATCATCGTAAAATATCAAATAAAATGTATATAACAAGAAAACTAGTTGGTTTTTAGTAAGGTATTTTACTTTTAATTTTCATAAACTAAAATTAAAAAATGTATTTATAACGGATATTCGACTTAATTAAAAAAAAAAACAACAAAATAATAGAATCGAAAGATGCGATGATGATATTTTCCGAGGAACAAACGCCTAACGAAAAATAAAAAATGAAAATGACAACCGAGGATAAGCAACCAGTAGGTATTGAAAAAAAAAAGGAAACGGAAAATAAAAATAGCAATTAAACGAGAGTTTTATTATTTTTGTTTGCATTTTTATCGCGCCCCTACTGTGTTAATAATAGAAGCAATTTTTTAGCGGCTGGGCCATATATTTTTTCCCTCGAGATGATATACCGACTTGCTGCTTGCACGGCGATAAAAATTATTGTATACAGGAGTTTTTTAACAGTTGAATTTGGTTTTTATAATGTATACTTAGCTATGTTCCTCGCATATCGTAATTGTGTCTGTCAGCAGATTGCTACCGAATACGTTTTATAGATTCTTTCCATAGTGTATTGGTTGGGCAATATCTAAGTACAACTATTATAAATTATAATCGTATAGTTTGAAAGGTCGTAGTTTTTGTTTGTTGTTTTATTATTTTTATACTAAAGGCCTTTACTCGTCGACCATTTTGAATATGCTTCGAGATAATTATTCGCGCACCGATAAAAACATTGATCGAGTCTGGGCATTTTCATTCAGTGAACATTTATTATAATGTAGCTTTGGTTAAAAACTGTGTGAACCTGTGACCCACACGGGCTCCTTGTTGATTTGCATAATTAATTAACAACGACGGATATACCCAAGGGACGACGCAGCCAAAGGCAGTGTGGTAAAAAAAAAAAAAGAGAGACAAATGCTTTTAATAAACAGCACAAGTTAATTCATATATTGGTACTTATATAAGGGCATGCTCGTCGTTTTCCAATTATAAATATTGTCACTATGATTTATAGTTTAGTCTTCATACGAAAATACATAAGAAAATTGTTGTAACAAAATAAAATATGTCATGCTCCGCCGTTTTGATTGTCGACTATACATTGACAACTGTCAATAACAATGTTACTCCTACTGAGTTTCTAAAAATTGGGTCTCATCTATTTTTTACACGACTCCACTTGATAAATTAATTTTTTTTTCCATTATACACTATTATATTACATATATACTGCAAATCTTTATAATACATAATATAGTTTTATACAAAAAAAAACGTATGTAGTCTTGTAGCTCTAGTTATAGTATAGTCTTTTAAAATTATATATTCCTAATATTAATATTTGTATTACTAATAATATAAAAAGTTTTTAGACGGTTGGATGTCATTGGATATTTATTTAGAGAGGGGGAATGATGAACAAACACTGTACGCATATAAATCATAATATATAAAATGTAACTCTTGTATTTCAAGTGATTCATAACTTTAAATATAATTAATAAAACATAAGCTTTGTTCATTCAAACAATAGTCATAACTTGTAATTTAAAATCCAATACCCAAATAGCAAAGAAAGTGCTTAAAATAATATTTGTAAATTGTCAATTGTAATACCTACAAATTGAAGGTATAGACAATATATCTTAGGATTTGTGACGAATCTTAAATTATGCAATAAAATATTTCATTAAACAAAATAATCGCTTTTCTTTACTGTCTTAGTATTACTACCTGTCTTCCATATGGATTGACCGGTTCTTGAGTGATCACTCGCCTCTCTATAATAGTATCCCCGTTTCTAGTCCTGAACGACGTGCTTTGGATTTGTTCATCGGATTGTTGATAAGACCCAGGAACAATTGACTGTGGGAATGATCCAGGACCACTTGACTGTTGACCATAGTTATTAATTGGTCTGTTGAATACTGAAAATGTAGGCACTGAACCGATCGGATTATACTGATAGTTATAGTCTTCTTTTGGCTTGGCCAATAACTGAGGTTGTTCTAACTGCATCTGAGAATTATATTCTGTTGAAACTTTAACAATACATAAACATTTCATTACAGGTTATTCGCATAAGTTTGCTTAAAAATTAAGGATACTATTACAGCACTAAAATCACAGATTGAATTGTACTTAAATACAAGAAGCTAGAATAAGAACGGTCATTAGTGTCGCTTTAAGTTTTACTATTGTTAAATAATTTGAAATTGTGTACAGTTGTTTATATAATGTCAAGATGATTTGAAATGTAATCTCTTTAATGATACATAAAATTTCAGTGACACATTTTTTAGTTACACGTTGTTTTGTATTATAAACTAGTCGTTTGAAACTAGTCGTATATCTTGGAAGGATAATTTAACGAAATTCGGTATTAATTACAGCATCCGATAAAATGTTTAAAAGTAGTGATAAAGCAAATACACAATACGTACATCCAGAAATACTTTTTAATGGCAATTTGGTTTTCTCGAGTTGAAACTGCTCATTTGAATTAACAGGGTCATCTTGTTTCATACCGCCTACTCCAAGCGAGATGGCTGTCAACAACAGCGCAATGACCTATCAAATAACATAAAAAACCTTTTAATATAAACTTACAAAATCATGCACACAACAGTATTATTGTAATATTACGCATCATTTTTTATCTACCTATAATATCTAAGTATTATACAAAGATAATTAAATACATCGTTATTATAAGTTACTTAAAGCATAGTATTTTATCATATCTTCAAACAACTTTATTTATAATACAATTTTCTTAATTTTTTGGTAAATTTAATCTCTTATAAGATTTTAACATTTTCTATACATGGGTATTTAACTCATTTAGTTATATTTTATGTATGTTCAGTTGTATAACACTCACGTGAATAGATAGATAAACAAAAGATTATCCATTTGAGACTGTAATAGTTTAATAACACATCAAAATAAGTACCTTGTTACAATCATTAGTAGGTATAATAAATAATTTTTAAAACATCTTTATTATATAATCTTGTAAACGTACAACTTACTTTAAACATTTGTTTACTAAGAATATAAATAAAAAAACGTATTTATAAAAAAAAAATTGTAAACGTTTCCAACAGTAATTGTAAGTTTTATATTTTAGTAGACAACTTGCCCTTACGAATACATTGCCATTACTTTCCGGTATGTAAATTTAAGGTGTGCGATCTTTTTTTTCTTTTATCCTAAACATGGGTCACCCTTCATATAGTCATGGCTGTACATAAAAATATAAACATAATTCTTCTAAATACATGAACAGCGATTGCCAATAAGAATATAATAGTTTGTAACCAAATAGAAAGCAACAAAGAACTATTCACTATTTGTACGACCTAATGCAGTAAAACTTGTATCTATTTTGACAATTAACGTTTTCTGTTAGCTACATATAGGTAATAGGTACATATTAATAGATTCGAGTAATTCTGTAAGCTTAATCATCTATTTTATCGTAACCCGTCGATTATTAGACAAGATTTGAATACGATAATTGGCTTCCTGTCTTAAAACGAATTCTGATAATTAGAACCACTATAGCGACCAATGCGCATAACGCCTATTAATATTTATAAAAGAAAATACATAATATGTGTTTTATAATTTACTTTGAATTGAACTATTGATAATACTGTAAAAGTAGGTAATACAAGGTAATTGCGACAAAATATTCATTTCAATTACTTTACCTGAAACATTTTGTAGCTTAGTAGGTCCCAGTGTATGCGTTTTTTTACAATAAACTAACGACGACGTTGAACAATTTTTAAAAAATGACATAATTCGATGTTGCACGCCAGCTATATAACTTTACAAGGTTACCACTTTTTAAATACGTTGGTTCAACTATATTATCCATAGAAATATTATTAAACCTTATAAAAATGTCCACATAAATACATACATTCATGGCATTGAAAAATCCATGCATGATGATCTGTACAAGATAACATTTCTATTGTGCTGGACATCAATGGGCAGAATATACAATGATGACTATATTATTATGATACTCGAAATTGTTATTCGTGATGAGTAATGCAAAATCTATAAAAAGTCCTTGATTTCAATTGTATTTAGGTATAATAAAAAAAATGTATGGATTAACATATTTCCATGTCAGTTACTTGTTTTATATATATATATATATATATATACATAATATTATACATTATACCCATACATAATAAAAACAAAATACAAAGCGAATTTTTTATGGGGATGTAATAATCTCTTCGTGTCCCTAATAAAAATAGGCAAAAACTAATAACGGAGTATATATTTTAGTGAAAATATGTGTACACAATACCAGTGTAAAACTGTGCTTCATTTTTATATAAATAATATTTTATATTATCAATATTAGGTGTAAAATCTCATAAGATAATAATATTGGGTACACCTACAAGAAGCTTTGAAAAAGTGTAGGTAAATTTATGGAATTTGTCAAGCTTTGAAGAGGAAGATGTAACTTTTTAAATTGTTGGGCCAATAAAGTGCCTATTCAGGTGCGATATCTGATCTATAGACTTGTCTAGACAGAAAAATAAATAAACAAATTATTATAAAACTAAAAAATAAAAACACATTACTTTTTTTAAAAAAAATATCTTCTTAGCCCTGTATCGGAAAAAATATGTAAGTTGTTTGAATACTTTTTTTCATTGCTAATTAAATTATGCTCAGGTTTGGTTTTAAGCCTACCAATAAAGTTGCAGTTGTTCCGTAATTTGTGTTTTTCTCTGAATATTCATTTCATTTTTGTAACAATTCCTAAAGAAAATACCGAAACGTTGAATATTTTATTCAAATTGACGGCCAAAGCGCCACAATTGGATATCATGCCGTAGATTCAACGCATAACTAAGAGCGAATCGGATTTTTATAATTTTTTTTTTGTTCAATAATTATTCTTCCGAGTTCAAAATTATTTTGAAATATTCTCCTGGCCATTTGCAAGCATAATGTGTTTCCAAGAGCATAATATTGTCAATTTAATATATAGTAATAATTAACGATGCAGTACACATGGGATATTACTTTGGTCATGACCTATTGCAATTATTTGAATACAACACATAGCTGTGTTTTAAGCAGGTATATCTCATTTAATGTAAAATGCATAATCAATTAACATCGAATAACAGTATTTATTAGAAACATAACAGCTTGTAATTGTAAATCCATATATCACACGTGTCATGTTTTTCAACATTGAAAAAATACCAAAATACCTTCTATCAATTGTATAGCGCGTAACTAATAATTGTACTAGGAAATATAGCCGAATTACCAATATTTAATCTGATAATTTGCCTTTTAAACATTATTTTTCCAATTGATATAGTTACGTCCATAAAACGTGATCGCAACACGGTTTGAACTTTGGTAATTTCATAAATTGAAATGCATTACAATTTACAGTGCCACTTATACACAGTGATGGCGTGTTCGTAAAAAGTTTCAATATTCAAACCTATTAGTACCTAATTGAATATTGTTATAAAAAAAATCACACTTTTCCACGTAAAAGCGTGACATCTATTAAAAATGCATTTTTAGTAACTGTTTAGAAAATAAAAATAGGATATAACAGCTATACTTAAATTAATATAATATGTTCGAAAAGTTATACACTTATATGTGTATTATAGGTTCCCGTCAAAATAACGAAAATAGCACCACGAATAGTGAAAGAATGTTGATAAATAAAAAATTGAATCCAGATAAATTTAATGTCATTAACAGCTGCGCATAGCAACAAAAAGGATAACGATTTTTACAGGTACGGGTGAATTGTTAATTATTAATCTAAGAAAATCTGAGCAAACACGTCTTGTGGCCAATACATTATGTTTAATAATAAAAATAACAGCACTGAAAACCCTATAAAAAAAAACAATTTAAATACAAAACCCACCAGCATATTTAAATATGCAAATACTATAAAACATAATGTTGGTCGTTTTCATTTTACACAATCCGTTAGACGATAGATGGAAAACAAATTGTAAATTACACATCGAGAGGGGCTGATCGGTTTCGCTGAATTCATTTTCGCCGTTCCAGAATCGCGATAACAATATTGATAAATATCAGTGGCTTGGAGCAAGAAGGGCCAATGTCAATTTTGTGCATAAACGAGTTAGTCCGCTATTTGCAAAATTTGAATCATTCTTTATATACTGTGGAAAAATCACACTCTGAGGCCAAAAAATGAATTACTCATGGAGAGTTTGATAAAAAAATTAACCTAGAGCCTAATGGAAAACTTCAAAGCTCATTTTCCGAAAGTTGCAAAAAGTGACATTGGCCTTGCTTGCTCCAAGCCACAGATATTTAACACAATACTGCATACGTTTTGCTGGTAATACGTAAAAGTCAAAATCTGCGTGGAATAGTTCAAAATAACAATATGCACTCGGAGTAATTATCGTTTGGGGGATTTTGTGAAGTGGCGACGGTGTGCCGAATTGCACCGAAATCGGTCGACAAACAAAAGAGCTATTGTAGAATGCGATAAAAACGTATTAACAAAAAGCCCGTATGCCGTTCACGCGGGTTCGGTGGAAACGAGGATTTAAAAATCAAACGCCGCTCGTCGGGGGGGGGGGGGTCGTTTCGGCCGTATAACTCAAAACCTTTTTGGTGGAGTTTGCAAGTGGAAAGGCAATAATTAACGGCAAGACGGCAAGTGCCTCTCCGGCACCGTAGCGCCACCGCCAGCGCCACCCCGTTATAGCAACCCGCCACCTGTAGAGCTTCGTGTAACCTGATGTTTGTATAACGCATTTGTTTTTCGATAAGAATATCTTAAGAGCCACAGCCGAGCACGTGCCCGAGAGCCCGTTTGCGGCGAACCGATCGAAACCGAGCTCGGAGGAATAGTCCAGAACACTATACAGAATAACCTATAATATAACATTGTAGTATGCACTGACGGGATCGGCAGCGTGCGCGTGCGAGACGGTATTTTATTTTTTTTTTTTATAGAATATCGCCCGGGGCAAAAGATAGTAATGAAAAATAATTTCAATAATACGTTTTGTACAGCTAAATATACGGTATGAACCCCTCTTTGTGATGGAGATTAAACTGCGCAAGTAAACACACGCGAACGCTCCACTCGACCGCCTCGTTATCCCTCGTTCGGTGTACAATGTGTGTATATGTATATTATGTAAAACGGCTATACACCGCCGCCGCCGCCAAGGTTGTTGTACGGTTAGTCCGTAGCTAATTATCGACGGTTAATTGCACCGATTTGACGTACTGCCGAGTATGTGTAATGTGATTAATTAAAAGTCCGGCCGACTCCCACTCGTCTTACCGTTACTGCATGCTAGAATACCGAATACAAATATACAGAAATGCCGTATTGCGCCATTGTTTATTAGATGTAAGCAAAACACTTTTGCAAACAAAGAACTCGGTTATATATTTATACACTCTGCTTCTTCTTCGCCTTATCCCCTGCAAATGGGATGAGCCTACAAAATCCACTCCGTCCACGAATCTCTATCCGACGTCATTTCATTATTTACTCTACAAACCATCAAATTTTTATTTATCAAATGCGCCCACTTGTTCTTCTCGGGTCTACCTATATCTCTAAGACCCTCTACCGCAATCTTTAATACGGCACGGAATATTTTTTCCTCGGACTTGGAAAAAATACTATTTTCAAACTGTTTTCTCATTATAACATCCTTCATGACTGGAGAATGTGTGTAAACTCGTAATTTGTTTATTTAGTCATAATTATAGTGATAAGACAGCATACTGTTGGCAAATATTCATTTTTTCCATTGGAAAATCTTCTACCTGGGTAGGTATACAATTTAAATTAAATTATTAAATAAATTACTTAACGTAATTTTATTTAATAAAAGCTAACAAAAAAAAAATACTTAATGCGAAATAAGCAATTCTTAGAAATTACTATTAACTAACGCGATGTTTATGTAAATAAAACTAATTTATACCATATATGTATGGCGCATGATACTTTTTGATTACAAATATTTCTCTGAATATTTTTAGATGTGTTTGTGGTATTGATTGTAGCAATATCAAAGCTATTGTATTCGACTATATTCCTAATGAGAACTACTTGTCATTTTGTAACAGCTCGTGCATACTTTATATTCATACACACGAGAGAAAAAATAAGATAAAATAACTATTGGCTTTGTTGGCAACGTCTTATATCAAGCCGCAAATCGAAGTGGGATACTGCTTAAGTTAGGAGAATAGATTTTTCATATGTAAACCATACATAGGATGATTTTTCAGTTTACACACATAAAATGGAACTTACGCGCGTCATCAATCACTCCATCAGCAATATCATATGACCTTGTGATGGATGCTGATTGTAGACCGGCTCACCCGGATAATCTTGGGAAAGGGATCCACCTTGCAATATAGAGTACAAGACTTTATTAAACCATACTTGCAAAAATGAATGGAGTCTCTCCCGGACAAATCGAAAGAGAAGAAAAAAAACTGAAAAAATAGTTTTCAGAAGCCTTGGGGTTTTGTATTATATATTTATTTGATTTTTCACTTGAGCGTGCACAGTAAACGAAACGACGAGTTAGAAACAGTAAGAAAGAAAATAAAGAAGAAACACCTTATTCTTTTTTTTTCGTTCTTCTAACTGGTAGAAAATAGGCCTACTTTTTCTTTATTTCTTGCCATTCTGACAGCCGTTTTGAAATGGAATTTATGATGTACCAAATAGTAAACACAATAGCTATTATTGGAATTCAATGT